GATCCCAGGAGACGAGGCTGTAAATACCAAAAGTCAGGAAGTTGCAAATCCCAGAATCCCCACCAATATTATGACTACAGGTCTGGCTCAACTTGATGGTTTTCATCTCTCCTGGATGTGATTCTGGAAAAGATTGTTAAGGAAGCGGTCTGCAAACACTTAGAAACAAATGCAGTCATCGCTAATAGTCAACATGGATTTATCAAAAACAAGTCATGCCAGACTCATCTGATCTCTTTCTTCGATAGAGCTACAAGCTGGGTAGATGCGGGGAATGCCGTGGATGTATCGTGTCTGGATTTCAGTAAGGCCTTCTTCAACAAGGTCCCCCATGACCTTCTGGCAAGGAAACTAGTCCAATGTGGGCTAGGCAAAACTACGGTGAGGTGGATCTGTCATTGGTTAAGTGGACGAACACAGAGAGTGCTCACTAATGCTTCCTCTTCATCTTGGAAAGAAGTGACAAGTGGAGTGCCTCAGGGTTCCGTCCTGGGCCCGGTCCTGTTCAACATCTTTATTAATGACTTAGATGAAGGGCTAGAAGGCAGGATCATCAAGTTTGCAGACGACACCAAATTGGGAGGGATAGCTAATACTCCAGAGGACAGGAGCAGGATTCAAAACGATCTTGACAGATTAGAGAGATGGGCCAAAACTAACAAAATGAAGTTCAACAGTGACAAATGCAAGATACTCCACTTTGGCAGAAAAAACGAAATGCAAAGATACAGAATGGGGGACGCCTGGCTCGAGAGCAGTACGTGTGAAAAAGATCTTGGAGTCCTCGTGGACAACAAGTTAAACATGAACCAACAATGTGATGTGGCGGCAAAAAAAGCCAATGGGATTTTGGCCTGCATCAATAGGAGCATAGTGTCTAGATCTAGGGAAGTAATGCTACCCCTCTATTCCGCTTTGGTTAGACCACCTGGAATATTGTGTCCAATTCTGGGCACCACAATTCAAGAGAGATATTGACAAGCTGGAATGTGTCCAGAGGAGGGCGACTAAAATGATCAAGGGTCTGGAGAACAAGCCCTATGAGGAGCGGCTTAAGGAGCTGGGCATGTTTAGCCTGAAGAAGAGAAGGCTGAGAGGAGATATGATAGCCATGGATAAAGATGTGAGAGGAAGCCACAGGGAGGAGGAGGGAGCAAGCTTGTTTTCTGCTTCCCTGGAGACTAGGACGCAATGGAACAATGGCTTCAAACTACAAGAGAGGAGATTCCATCTGAACATGAGGAAGAACTTCCTGACTGTGAGAGCTGTTCAGCAGTGGAACTCTCTGCCCCAGAGTGTGGTGGAGGCTCCTTCTTTGGAAGCTTTTAAACAGAGGCTGGATGGCCATCTGTCAGGGGTGATTTGAATGCAATATTCCTGCTTCTTGGCAGAATGGGGTTGGACTGGATGGCCCATGAGGTCTCTTCCAACTCTTGATTCTATGATTCTATGATTCTATGATCTACACTGATTTGTGCATTTTGGGTGTTGTAGTCCCTCAAAAAGGAAACTTTCTGCGCTCTGGACCAGATTCATCTCATTACAGGTGATCCTTCTGACACCCAAACTTACCAGAAATACCAGTTATTTGCTGAAAGGTCAGTCGAGGGCTAGTGGAAAGTTAGAAAGTTACTCTTGAGTTTTTTTCCCCAACCTCCTGGTATTGTTTGTTCACCCCTTTGCTGTGGGTTGTTGCAACGCCGCCCAAGCCTTTCTCTCTGGCCACTCCCTGCCCAGGTCACACCTGTCAATCCCTTGGCACTCTCAGGTTACACACGCGTGAGGTAGAGATATGAGGAAGAACAGACCGAGGGACCGCTAGAAAACACTTGCCGCTACCGCTGTTACTTCTGAGTCCATTGGAAGAGACCTACGGCTCTGCTTCTCCAAGGTACTAAGTCTGTAAGGAGAGACCCAAGAATCTGCTTCTCCAAGGGACCAAGTCTATAAGAAGAGACCTAAGAATCTGCCGAGCTCCTCAGTCCATAAGAAGATGTTCTTTTCTGAAAAGAGGCTCGTTGGCCAAGTCTCACGCTTACTGGCCCTGGGCAGCCTGATGCTCTGTGCCGTGGCAGTGCTGAAATACTCCAGCTCGCAGTGCGAATTCCAAGACCTGGGCCAGGACAGCATTGACCAAGGGAACCAGTACTGCAAGGACCAACTCTATGAGTCCATTCGTCTGCCCCGCCGGGGAAACGTTAGTTGTTCCCAGCTCGTCCGCGGAGACCCCGAAGCCATCCAGGAAGCTCTGCTGAGCCGCCTGCAACGGAAAGCCGATGGGGACCACTTGCAGGAAGGCCACTACATCAACATGACCAAGGACTGCGAGCTTTTCCGATCCAGCAGGAAATATATCGAGTTCCCGCTGAGCAAAGAGGAGGAAGAGTTCCCCATCGCTTACTCCATCGTCATCCATGACAAGGTGGAGATGTTTTTTTGACAACATCTTTATTACAGAGTTTATTACATATATAAGAAAAGGAGACAAAGGGTAGGGTGGGGTGGGGAGGGGAAGGTGGTGGATGTAAAAAAACTGGGCAGGGGGTTCGGGGCATGTACTTGGATCTGTGTGCAGATTGGGTAGGATGGGGTTGGGTAAGGAACAGAGGGAAAGGGGTAAGCAGGGAAGGGAATAAAAACATCGTGACTTCCAAGTTGAACAGACAGATAAATGCTTCGTTTGTACATTATTAGTAACTGATATACATCAGCTTTCATCCTATATTGGTCTCAGTCTCGGTATATCTTCGTTATTTTATTATTTCTTCTTTTCAGTATATTCCAAGAAGTTGCTCCAGTCTGTGTTTTTCTTTTTATCTTCATTATCTCTTAATCTTTGTGTTAAAAGATCCATATTCATTACATCATAAGCTTTTATTGTCCATTGTTCTGCTGTAGGGACCTCTCCGGATTTCCAGAGCCGTGCAAGTTGTATTCTGGCCGCTGTCGAAAGGTGGAAGAACAGCTTACTTTCATTACTACTTATATCAAACTCAATGTCCGTTATACCCAAGAGATAGTATTCGGGTTTAAGGGGGAATTTCTTTTTCAGGATTTTCTCTGTTTCTTTATGTATCGTTCGCCAGAAGGCTTTCACCCTTTTGCACCCCCACCACATATGTATAAAAGTTCCAATGTTTCTTTTACATTTCCAGCATTTTGTCTCCAATTTCCCTTTGCTAAATCTGGGAAGTTGTTTCGGGGTCAAGTACCATCTATAGTATAATTTATACCAGTTCTCTTTACAATCGTTAGAATATGTACATTTCAGTTTCCTTGTCCATATTCCCTCCCAATCCTTAAAGTTGATTGTGCGACCTTGGCCCATTTCACCATGTTGTTTTTAACTTGTTCTTTTTCTGTTTCCCACCTCAATAACACCTGGTATATTTTCCGTATATGCTTTCCCTCAGAGTTAATAATTTTTTCCCAAAAGTGGTCCTTGGTTTCAAAGCCTGTCTTATGGTCAAGGTTGTAACTTTCTTTTATTTGATGGTATTGAAACACGAGAGTGTGGGATCATATTTTTTTAATTCCTCCTGGGATTTTAGGGATGGTTTGCCTGGTATGTCTTTTATTATTTCCTTATAGGTTAACCACTTTTCTCTACTGGCTCCTCTGATTTGACTGGCCTCATTCGGTGAGAACCATAGCGGGACTTTTGAATGGAATTTGTTCTTGTAATTTTCCCATATTTTTATAAGTGGGGACCTAACAAAGTGGTTCTCGAAATTCCTCTCCTTTGCTTTCCCTCTCCATAGATATTTGTGCCAGCCTTGCATTATGTCATGACCCTCCAGGGCTAATATCTTTTTTTCTTTGAGGCTAATCCATTCCTTAATCCAGCACAGGGCCGATGCATCGTGGTAGAGCCGCAGGTTTGGGAGTGCCAGGCCTCCTCTTTCCTTACTGTCGCATAGATTGGTAAAACTGACTCTATGTCTTCCTCCCTTCCAGATGAACTTTAGGATGTCTCTATGCCAGCTTTCAAACGTTTTCTTTGTTTTAATAATGGGGAAGGTCTGGAAAAGGTAGAGCATGTCAGGGAGGACATTCATAGAATCATAGAATCATAGAATCAAAGAGTTGGAAGAGACCTCATGGGCCATCCAGTCCAACCCCATTCTGCCAAGAAGCAGGAATATTGCATTCAAATCACCCCTGACAGATGGCCATCCAGCCTCTGTTTAAAAGCTTCCAAAGAAGGAGCCTCCACCACACTCCGGGGCAGAGAGTTCCACTGCTGACCGGCTCTCACAGTCAGGAAGTTCTTCCTCATGTTCAGATGGAATCTCCTCTCTTGTAGTTTGAAGCCATTGTTCCATTGCGTCCTAGTCTCCAGGGAAGCAGAAAACAAGCTTGCTCCCTCCTCCTCCCTGTGGCTTCCTCTCACATATTTATACATGGCTATCATATCTCCTCTCAGCCTTCTCTTCTTCAGGCTAAACATGCCCAGCTCCTTAAGCCGCTCCTCATAGGGCTTGTTCTCCAGACCCTTGATCATTTTAGTCGCCCTCCTCTGGACACATTCCAGCTTGTCAATATCTCTCTTGAATTGTGGTGCCCAGAATTGGACACAATATTCCAGGTGTGGTCTAACCAAAGCGGAATAGAGGGGTAGCATTACTTCCTTAGATCGACACTATGCTCCTATTGATGCAGGCCAAAATCCCATTGGCTTTTTTTGCCGCCACATCACATTGTTGGCTCATGTTTAACTTGTTGTCCACGAGGACTCCAAGATCTTTTTCACACGTACTGCTCTCGAGCCAGGCGTCACCCATTCTGTATCTTTGCATTTCATTTTTTCTGCCAAAGTTGTATAGCCGCTATTCTTCCTAGCAAAGAGAGCCTTAGGGGTTCCCATCGCTCTAGTTTTTCTCTTATCTGCCTCCATTTTTTCTCGTAATTATTCTTATAGAGCTGTGTGTTTTTGGCTGTTAGGATAACCCCTAAGTACTTTACTTTCTTGACTATACTGACTTCAGTTCTTTTTTGAAGGTCTTCAACTTTCTGCTTGGACATATTCTTTGTCAGCATTTGTGTCTTTCCTTTATTTATTCTCATAGGTGGAGATGTTTGAGAGGCTGCTGAGGGCCATCTACACTCCCCAGAATGTGTACTGTGTCCACGTCGACGCCAAGTCTCCGCAACCTTTGCAAGAAGCGGTTCGGAGGATCGCCTCCTGTTTTGGGAACGTCTTCCTGGCCTCCAAGCAGGAAAGAGTGGTGTACGCCTCTTGGAACAGAGTCCAAGCCGACCTGAATTGCATGGAAGACCTCCTTCGAAGTCAGGTCAAGTGGCAGTACCTCCTCAACACCTGCGGGACCGACCTCCCCATCAAGACCAACGCGGAGATCGTCCGATCCCTCAAGGTGTTGGACGGGAGGAACAACATGGAGGCGGAGAAGCCCTCAGAGTATAAAGCAGGCCGCTGGAAGTATCACCACGATGTGACGGACTCTGTGGTCCGGACCCAGACGGAGAAGAGCCCTCCTCCGCAAAGTTCTCCCATGTTCACAGGAAATGCCTATGTGATCCTCAGCAGGGGGTTCGTCCAGTATCTCTTCCAAGACCCGATGGTGAAGCAGTTCATAGAGTGGTCCAAAGATACCTACAGTCCTGATGAGCACATCTGGGCCACCCTGCATCGCATGCCGGGAGTGCCAGGTGGGGTGCCTTTCAACAGCAAGTTCGACCTCACGGACATGAACGCCATCGCGAGGTTGGTGAAGTGGTCCTACAGCGAAGGGGACATCGCCAAGGGAGCCCCATACCCGCCTTGCACGGGCGTCCACAGGCGGGCCGTATGTACTTATGGGGCAGGCGATCTCCATTGGATGCTCTCCCAGCACCATCTCTTTGCCAACAAATTTGACTCCCAAGTTGACAATACCGTCATCGAATGCTTGGAAGAGTACCTGCGTTACAAATCAATACATGGAAAAACACTCTGATCGAATCACAGAGTTGGAAGAGATCTCTGGGGCCATACAATCCAACCCTGTTCCACCATGTAGGAATATCCAATCTAAGCCATCCAGTGTCTGCTTCAAAGCCTCCAGAGAAGGAGACTCCATTGGACTCTAAGGTGCTGAAAAAAGCTCTTACCATCAGGAAGTTCTTCCTAATGTTTGGGTGGAACCACTTTTTCTGGACTCTGTTGCATCCCATGGTTCCCTCCTCAATGAGACCTCCATGTCTCCTCTCAACCTTCTCTTCTCCAAGCTAAAGATTCCTAGCTCCCTCAGAGGGACTCAGGGCATCCAAAACTTTGACCATTTTTGGTCACTCTTCTCTGGACACCTTCAAGCCTTTCAATCTCCTTCTTGAATTGCTTTGGCCAGAACTGGACGCAGAGCTATTACAGACGAGGTCTGACCAAAGCAGAAGAGAGTTAGGTGAATGACTTCCTTTGGTTGAGACTCCTATAGATGCAGCTTGGAATCACGTTGCATCACACTCCTGGCTCATGTTCCTCTTATGGTTTGCTAAGATTCCTAGATCCCTTCCTCGCCAGGTGTCCCCCATCCTATACCTGTGCATTCCATTATTACTTAGGTGATTCCTCATTGCCTGAGGATGATGGTCCTTCAAGCGTGGTGGTGGGTCCGTAAGTAGCTGTGGAGCCCAATACTTGATCCGCATGTTCTCCCGCAGTGAGGACATCGGTTTCCAGGTGGAAGGCGGTCCTGGTTGGCTTGATGCACCTTCTTCCTCTTGGAACGTTTCTCCCTTTCATTCTCCATTTGTGTCTCTTCGAATTCTGCAGCACTGCTGGTCACAGCTGACCTCCAGTTAGAGCGCACAAGGGCCAGAGCTTCCCAGTTATTTCTCAGTATCTATGCCACAGTTTTTGAGGTTGGCTTTAAACTCATCTAGCTCAACCTAAAGATCCCTTCACTAAAGGGGCTTCCGGTTTCCTTAAAAACTTCGAAATCTTTACGAATTTTTTCCAAATTATGAAGATTCCGACCGAACGTAACCATGCCTAGTATGTATGTGTTATCGAACATGGACCCCTCTGGGTCATATTATATTTACTTAGAATCATAGAATCATAGAATCAAAGAGTTGGAAGAGACCTCATGGGCCATCCAGTCCAACCCCATTCTGCCAAGAAGCAGGAATATTGCATTCAAATCACCCCTGACAAATGGCCATCCAGCCTCTGCTTAAAAGCTTCCAAAGAAGGAGCCTCCACCACACTCCGGGGCAGAGAGTTCCACTGCTGAACGGCTCTCACAGTCAGGAAGTTCTTCCTAATGTTCAGATGGAATCTCCTCTCTTGTAGTTTGAAGCCATTGTTCCCTTGCGTCCTAGTCTCCAAGGAAGCAGAAAACAAGCTTGCTCCCTCCTCCTCCCTGTGGCTTCCTCTCACATATTTATACATGGCTATCATATCTCCTCTCAGCCTTCTCTTCTTCAGGCTAAACATGTCCAGCTCCTTAAGCCGCTCCTCATAGGGCTTGTTCTCCAGACCTTTTATCATTTTAGTCGCTCTCCTCTGGACACATTCCAGCTTGTCAATATCTCAAATGTTGCAAAAGGTGTGCCCGGGGCAAGCGCATGGGTGGAGGAAAGTGACTAAGGATAAGCTTTGCCTTAAGTTTCATCCAAACAGATGCCAAAAACTCAGCCTCTTAGTCACTTTCCCAGCTTACGCTTGTTCCTTGCCCGCAGGGAAAATATACATTGAAGTCACAGATGGCTGGCTTTTCAAAGGTGCCTTTCTGGTTTTGTATTTAATTTTTTGCAAATGAAAGTATGTATGGAAAGAATTCGGCATTTTGTTGGCTGCGACTGTCTGTTTGTTGTCATGCCATTCATTTTCCCATGCATTGTACAGCTTGGGCGTTGATTGTATTTATTACTAAGCTTGGGGACCCGTCATTGCCTGGTTTATTTGAAAAGGTCAGTTTTTGATTGTGCAAAATGCATAATTGGGTGAACTACAACTCCCATAATGCCAGGTTAACCCTGAAAAGCTCCATCAGTTTGCTCTAGATGCATCATTGGTCGGGTTCCGTGGGCTCTCTGGCTGCAGGGTAAACTATAACTCCCACTATGGTGAGTCAGTCTCCTCAAACCCTTCCAGGAGGTTGAGTTAGTCATGGGGGTTCTGTGTGCCAAGTTTGGTCCAGGTCCATCATCGGTGGAGGGCACAGTTTCTCTGGTTGTGGGTGAACTACAACTCCCAGAAAGGAAGGTCAGCCCTCCCCCAAACCCCTCCAGTAATCAAATTTCAACATATGAGGTATGTATGCCGGATCCATTGGTGTTTGGGTTCTCATTATGAAGGTGAACTATAACTCCCACTATGGTGAGTCAAACCCAAACCCCTCCAGTAATCAAATTTCAACATATCAGGTATGTGTGCCAGATCCTTTGGTGTTTGGGTTCTCATTATGAAGGTGAACTATAACTCCCACTATGGTGAGTCAGTGCCCTCAAACCCTTCCACTAGGTTGAGTGAGTCATGGGGGTTTTCTGTGCCAAGTTTGGTCCAGGTTCATCATCGGTGGAGGGCACAATTTCTCTGGCTCTAGGTGAACTACATCTCCCAGAAAGGAAGGTCAGTCTCCCTTACCCCCAAACCCCTCCAGTAATCAAATTTCAACATATGAGGTATGTGTGCTAGATCCATTGGTGTTTGAGTTCTCATTATGTAGGTGAACTACAACTCCCACTATGGTGAGTCAGTGCCCTCAAACCCTTCCACTAGGTTGAGTTAGTCATGGGGGTTCTGTGTGCCAAGTTTGGTCCAAGTCCATCATCGGTGGAGAGCACAGTTTCTTTGGTTGTAGGTGAACTACAACTCCCAGAAAGTAAGGTCAGCCCTCCCCCAAACCCCTTCAGTAATCAAATTTTAACATATGAGGTATGTGTGCCAGATCCATTGGTGTTTGGGTTCTCTTGATGTAGGTGAACTATAACTCCCACTATGGTCAGTGCCCTCAAACCCTCCAGTAGGTTGAGTTTGTCATGGGGGTTTTCTGTGCCAAGTTTGGTCCAGGTCCATCATTGGTGGAGGTCACAGTTTCTCTGGTTGTGGGTGAACTACAACTCCCAGAAAGGAAGGTCAGCCCTCCCCCAAACCCCTCCAGTAACCAAATTTCAACATATGGGGTATGTGTGCCAGATCCACTGATGTTTGGGTTCTCAATATGTAGATGAACTACAACTCCCACTATGGTGAGTCAAACCCAAACCCCTCCAGTAATCAAATTTCAACATATGAAGTATGTGTGCCAGATCCATTGGTGTTTGGGTTCTCATTATATAGGTGAACTACAACTCTCACCATGGTGAGTCAGTGCCCTCAAACCCTTCCACTAGGTTGAGTTAGTCATGGGGGTTTTCTGTGCCAAGTTTGGTCCAGGTCCATCATTGGTGGAGGTCACAGTTTCTCTGGTTGTGAGTGAACTACAACTCCCAGAAAGGAAGGTCAGTCCCCCCCACCCCAAACCCCTCCAGTAATCAAATTTCAACATATGAAGGTTTTTATGTGCTTCAGATTATAGGAACTGTGCTCAGCGAAGTTCTCTGTTATATAAGGTGACTATCATACTCCCTCCATGCGTGAAGTACAGTAGACACTCAAACCCTTCACTAGGCTTGAGTTAAAGTCATGCGGGGTTTTCTGACCTGCCAAGTTTGGTGATCCAGGATACATCATCGAGTAGGAGGACGGCCACAATTCTACTGGCCAATTCTAAGGTTTTGTAACTATCTCCAGAAAGGAGGTACAGTATCCCTCATACCCCCAAACCCACTCCAGTAAAAATATTCAAATCATGAAGGATATGTGTGATCTAGAATACCATATGGAGGGGTGTATTGACGTTCTCATTATGATAGTCAGTATGAAACTACAACTCCCCACTATGGTCAGCATGCTCCTCCAAACCCTCCAAAGTTAAGCGTTGAGATTTGTCATGGGCAGGGTTTTACTGTGCCACAGTTTGGCTCCAGAGTCCGATAATCCATAGCGTGACGACGGTCACAGTTTCTCTGCGTTGTGGGTGAACTACAAATACCTCCATGAAAGGAAGCAGCCCTCCCCCAAACCCCTCCAGTAACCATTCAACATATGGGGTATGTGTGCCAGATCCACTGATGTTTGGGTTCTCAATATGTAGATGAACTACAACTCCCACTATGGTGAGTCAAACCCAAACCCCTCCAGTAATCAAATTTCAACATATGAGGTATGTGTGCCAGATCTATTGGTGTTTGGGTTCTCTTTATATAGGTGAACTACAACTCCCTCCATGGTGAGTCAGTGCCCTCAAACCCTTCCACTAGGTTGAGTTAGTCATGGGGGTTTTCTGTGCCAAGTTTGGTCCAGGTCCATCATTGGTGGAGGTCACAGTTTCTCTGGTTGTGAGTGAACTACAACTCCCAGAAAGGAAGGTCAGTCCCCCCCACCCCAAACCCCTCCAGTAATCAAATTTCAACATATGAGGTATGTGTGCCAGATCTATTGGTGTTTGGGTTCTCTTTGTATGGTTAACTATAACTCCCACTATGGTGAGTCAGTCCCTCAAACCCCTCCAGTAGGTTGAGTTAGTCATGGAGGTTCTGTGTGCCAAGTTTGGTCCAGGTCTATCATCGGTGGAGGTCACAGTTTCTCTGGTTGTGGGTAAACTACAACTCCCAGAAAGGAAGGTCAGTACCCCCCCCCCCCTCCAGTAATCAAATTTCAACATATGAGGTATGTGTGCTAGATCCATTGGTGTTTGAGTTCTCATTATGTAGGTGAACTACAACTCCCACTATGGTGAGTCAGTGCCCTCAAACCCTTCCACTAGGTTGAGTTAGTCATGGGGGTTTTCTGTGCCAAGTTTGGTCCAGGTCCATCATCGGTGGAGGTCACAGTTTCTCTGGTTGTGGGTGAACTACAACTCCCAGAAAGGAAGGTCAGTCCTCCCCCAAACCCCTCCAGTAACCAAAT